GATTCATGAATGTATTTGAGAGAGAGATGCTTTCATTTTTGAAGTATATTGTATTATTTGCAAGCCTTCACCTCTGATAAATGTTGGAAGAAAATTAAAGGGAACAATTTTTCTATTAATGAGACGATATTGTTTAACCGTGCTAGTAAAATCAAAAGTGACGAAACAATTGGAATAATGAGAAAAGATTCATATTTTAATTATAAAATTGTTGAGGTTAAAGCATAGATTATCTCCAATGCGATTAATCTATCGGGCATTTAAATAATCTAATTTTTTTGTCGATGTGGTATATATGTCTTATAAATAGATCGTTGAGTCTAAAATTGACCCCCAATAGGTTTATCTATACTTCAATATTTTTGTGTCTTTTATTAATATTAAAATAGAGTTGAATATTTTAATCAAAATTTTTATATTATGTAATACTATATTAACATTAAACCATTAAAATTTATTGAATAATCAGATTTTTTGAATAAAATATTATTTAAAAAAATTCTCAAAATTTCAAAGTAAACGTATTTTCCATTTTTATGTTTTGAGAAACGGTTTTTCAGAATGATAAAAAGAGACACCCAAAACACAAAACGAATTCAAAACTCAAAATTGAAACATAAAGAGAACAGCCCCTAAGTATAAGGGTTTTCTTTGATCGTCCTAAAAGATTCTATATTGTGTGACAATAAACAAATTGAGCAACACTTAGCCATTGTTTATCACCCTTTAAAAAAAAACTCTTTAATATGTTGACATTTCAAGGGATAAATTCAGTCTACCTAGTAATTACATATTTTTTTACTCCAATTTACTAAAATATTTGAAATACATATCTAAAAGCTATAATTTAGATTTATAATATGAAGTTAAATGAATTTGAAGTCAATTTATTTGGCACATTGCGGATATGGAAGGGTGGACGACGCCCATACCATACCTTCTACGAGAAAAAAATAAAAAATTATTGTTGAGTTTTTAAATACGGGTGGGTTTTCCTTGATTGATTTCCTTATATTTTTAATCTAATTCTATGCTAAAAAAATTGAAAATATAAATTAGGAGAGAGAATCATATCAACTATAATCCATCGAAAAGCCTTTTATTGTGTAGCTTACTTTATATAAGAAATTATTGACTTTTTATATATATATATTTTTTCCTTTTTCTTATTAGACACTACTTGTGCTTGGGTGAGACCTTGGCCGACCCTACATAAAGTACAAGGGATAGGGATGTGGTCCCTACTTATAGCTCATTCTAGAGTTGAATACTCGAGAATACCAAATTAAGATTGACCATTTAGAATAACAAAACGTTTTATATTTCTTTGGTAATGCAAAATCGCATGTATAAGATCCTTGTTGTCATCCGTAGTTTCTTAATAATTCTATAGATCTTCCACGTAATTCCTCTCGGATTGAGCTGATGAAGCCTAAAACATGTAAAACAAGGTTGTAGAAAAACTAGAACGAAAAATAGTACTGCTGTTCTTACAAAATTAAACTCGATTAAAAGATTCTTGACAGGCCTAATGTTGTCTTGCAGCTTCTGTACAAGATTCTTGGCCATAAACTTGCCTTCTTACTCCTTGAAGCCCATAAAAACCCAAAAAATAAAAATGAAAATGTTGAATGTTACAATATTTGCAGTGATGAAGGTATCCGAACCGTCCTTTCTTCTTCTTTGTGACAATGTAACGAGTTAGTAGGAACATCTTTTCACTGATACAGGTCTCTTTCATGACTATTCCACAGGGATTCCTTTAAGGTATACAGCAATTGGCATGCCTAAGAAACCGATAAATAGGCTGAAAAACCATTGCACGATTGTAAGAGGGGTTGTGTTTGCAAATGTCCCGAGGTATTCAACTATTATGATCTGGAAGAAGACAGTGGCGCCAAGAACTCCAACGAATACTGAGTTGTCCAGTATACCTTCAAGGACATCTGCTTTCTCCATCTCCCGGGAGTTCACTTCGTTGAAGAGCTGCAGAGATAACATTGAGAGTTTTAGGAACAGATACCGCTACTAATAGAACAATTACATTAACATTTGAGGTAGTTTCTTGAGTACCTGACAGAACACAAATGAGTTGAAAATAAGTGTGTTAAGGACCAAGTCGGAATCAGAGGAGCCATGAAGTCTGAAAAAAGTCTTTCCATATGCCTGAAGAAACCATATCACCAGGAACTGATACAAGGATTGTCCTAAGATGTTTCTCCACATGACGGCACTGATAAAATTTCCCTTCCTTCCAACCGGAGATCTCTTCATTAGTTCATCATTAGGAGGCTCGGTTGCTAGTGCAAGTGCTCCCAATGTGTCCATAATCATATTGACCCACAGAAGTTGAACAGCAGTAAGGGGAGCACTTCCTGAAATACCGTTCATTTGAAAGCATGTGTATGAATATATGTTTTAAATTACTGTATAAAGAAGAAGAGGAACTGAACAAACTTTCTTACCTGTCATGCAAGCCGAAGTGAAATTCACAATTAATGCCACGATATTAACAGTCAGCTGGAATTGAACAAACTTTTGGATATTTACGTAGACCGATCGCCCCCATTTTGCTACAGTGACAATTGTCGAGAAATTGTCATCCAGAATTATGACATCAGCACTCTCTTTGGCCACCTATGTTCAGAAACAATTATGATTAATATGCTGAAGGCGGTACTGTCTTCCTTATTCAAAGTAATTCTGAACTCATTTAATGTGAATGGACCACTTATTAACCCACTCTTAAACCCTTCATTAAACAACACTGTCGATTGTTAAATCTTTCACTCCATGGATAATTTCATTCACAAGGGACCATGAAAGATGATAATGAAAGTTCACCTCGGTTCCAGCTATGCCCATTGCGAGTCCAATATCTGCTTCATGAAGTGCAGGAGCATCATTTGTTCCATCGCCAGTTACAGCCACTACTTCATTAAAGGTGGTTCTCAAGTGCTTCACCAATGTATGCTTGTCCAACGGTGAAGAACGAGCCATTACCTAAAAAGGTGAAAAATATCATGAGAAACAGGCCGGAAATAATATTTTTAATTGCCTGTTGTCTTAAATTAAGAAGATGATAGAGTGTGCCTTGCAATCAGACAACAGAACTTGAGCCCATCATCAGATTCAAGTTTGTAGAATAGTATATAAAACACCTGTATCTTTGGAATCAGTTCGAGCAATTCCTCCATACTCTTCTCTCGAAAAACTGGACCTTCTATTGCTATACCGTCATCAGTTAGTATCCCACATTCCCTAGCAATAGCCTTTGCAGTATTGATGTTATCTCCCGTAACCATCCGAACAGTCACACCAGCTGAACGACAAAGGGCAACAGACTCCTTGACTCCAGGGCGTACAGGGTCTTTGATTCCTATAATCCCTATACAAGTATATCCCGAGGCAGGAATGGCATCATTTTCAGAGAACCCGTTTTCCAGTTCCATGTAGGCAAGACATAGAGTCCGAAGAGCCTCGCTAGCAAACTGATCAATGGTAGCTGTCAGATGATTGAAGGATTGTTCATCCAGGGGAACAACTTCACCGTTTGAGTTGACCACCTTTTCACAGGCAGCCAAAATTATCTCTGACGCACCTTTGGTATGAGCTTGTAGATGTCCTTCAGGAAGCTCCAATACCACACCCATTCGCTTCTTTGTGGAGTTAAATGGCTCGACTTTTACAAGTTTAGATGCTTGTCGTTCTTCTTGAAAATTCCCACCAAGTGATAGGCCAAACTCCAAAATAGCCATTTCAGTTGGTGTTCCCAAAATCTCACGTTTTCCGTTCTTGTTAACCACAACTTCTCCACCAGTGTTGTTAAAAATTGATTGTAGCAGAGTTTTTGCTACAGAATCTGGGATTTCTGAACGCAAATCAGAAGCGTCACTTGGTTTGCTCATTTCTTTGACATTCATGCAAATGCACGATTTCACCACGGTCATGTGGTTAGTCGTTAAGGTTCCAGTTTTGTCACTACAGATGGTAGTGGCTGATCCCATGGTCTCACAAGCTGCCAAGTGGCGCACAAGTGCTTTATCATTCATCATTTTTTTCATGGCAAACGCAAGGCTCAGTGTCACAGCAAGAGGGAGTCCCTCAGGAACTGCAACCACAACAATGGTAACAGCAATGGCAAAGTATTCTAACAATTGCAAAGCATCGTCTCCAGACCAGCTTAAAGTTGTTCCCTCTCGCCATTTGCTGCCAATCATTTTCTGCACTAAAACAGCAAAAGTAACGGCAGCAAAGAAGAGACCTATTTTTCCTATGATAGTTGCCACTCCATTCAATTTAACCTGTAGCGGAGTTTCATCATCTCCTCCTTCACTGAGAGTTGCCATTAGTTTTCCCCATTGAGTCTTCATGCCAACTGTAGTAACAAGCATCTTGCAAGAGCCATCTTGAACCTTGGTTCCTGACAGTAGAAAAGGGTTTTCTACACCGACCATCACCGGCTCACTTTCACCAGTCAAACTAGATTCATCAATTAAAACAGAAAATCCTGAAAGAAAAAGGCCGTCTGCAGGTACTTGATCTCCAATAGAAAGATGGACAATGTCACCAGGTAATAGCTCATAGATGGACATTTTTTGTCGATAACCATTCCTTGTAACTTGAATGGAGATTTTCTTCTTCTCTTTGTCCAAATCCTTGAACTGTAAAGACTGGCGATAATCACTACCGGCTGTGACGAACACCACCAACAAAATGCTAGCAACAATTCCAAGGCCATCATGAGCTCCTTTAGGCCATCCTTCTGTTGCTACGCCAACAATCAGAGAGACAAATGCACAGACACCGAGGATCATGAGAGTCATATCTTGAAGGGCTTCCCAAACAAATACCAAAAAGCTCTTTGCTTCAGCCTCTGTGAATTTATTGATCCCGTAAATCTCTTCTCTGTGTCTGAGAGCTTCATCATCAGTAGGAAGCCCATTGGTGGTGGATGTGCCAATCTTATCTGCAATACCAGACACCCCTCCATGAAACTTTAACTTTTTCACGTCATGACCTTCGACTATGGATCCTAATTCATCAGCACAAATCTGAAAACCAGCTTCTTTAACGTTCTTAGGTACAGTATAGTCACTTGGCTGCACTCCTGCAATTGTACAGAACAAGGAGTGAATCAATTTTCTACTTAAATCCCCAAACAAAGAAAAATGAAAATCTCACCTTGTATGAAATGTAGAGCAGCTTTGGAGACTAGGACTGCGATTCTCAACTTTTCCTATATTAACACGAGATTCCAATCAGCAACATTCATAAATGGCATTTTGTTTTGACAGCTCAATTACATTTTAAACCAACAATTCAAAGATAAACCGAAACAATACTTGCCCAATAAATCCTAAAGTAGGGAATATTTCAAACACTGATCCTGCGACCCTCAGGAAAATGTTTGAAGACTATAGTCTAATAATATTAGCAGTAACCACTAATCAATAACAATGTGACGAACAGATGAATATACACAACTTCAGGTACATTTTAAGAACAAATGACAGAGAGAAACATCTTTATGTATTCATAATTCAAAATGAAATAAACAGAGCACCCAAAAAAAAAGGTAGAACTCTGATCAGGTGAATACAAACACTACTATATATAAAACAGCATAAATTTGCTCCAGTTAAATGAAGAAAAAATTACGGTTCTGGAAATAAATAGAAACTTACGTCCACAATTATTGGACTACGTGGAGTCTAATTATACACTTCCCTCGTGTATCCTTGACATTGCATGAGATGTAAAAATCAGTTTCATGAATTATTTTTTATTGTTGTATTCAAGGATAAAAAATGTGTTCCACCTAACACTGTAAAAGAAAAAATTGGCAAACTTATTGTCCAATTGATAACAGTGTTATTTCGCCGGTGACTTATTGGTGGAAGGGGATGTAGCTAGAATTGTTGATGGCTTGATCTCACCGTATTTGGACATCAACAAACACATCGACCTAAAAGTTTTACCATCTAAAGGACTAGCTGCCGGCAAGTGAGTCTCAGCATATGCATTGATGGTTTTGGTTAAACAGAAATTAGAAGTTGATCCATAACGATAGATTAATATGAAGAGTTAAAGGTTGGTGCGGAATAAATGGAAGAACCTGATTGGTTTTGCGCATGGCGGCAGCTTCATAACGTTTGGAGATGTTGGCCGTGAAGCGAAACCGGCGTTTTGGATTCTTGACCACTCCACAAAGAGTCCTCCACCGCTGCAACACTTCCTCTGACGAATGCTTCGATTTCACTTCCCAATTGTCGCTTAAAAAACTCTCCATTTTGCCGTGTTTTCGTTATTCTTAATTGCTCTTGTTCCCATACAACACACACATTTTATAGACTCCAAAAGTAGAAGAAACTACCAAACAGACGCAGTATCCCTTCGTCTCAAGAAGTTTCCACATTTTTTTCTTGAATCTAAGAGGCAGATAGAAAACGTGTAATGCCCACTACAAGAAAATGAGAAATTTCTCAAATTAGAAGATGATCCGAATAATTGGCAAGAGAAGTTATAAACGCATGGTAGACCATTGGAAATTGCTCAAATGCCTCTTCCCTCTTTCTGGTGTTTACGTGGTCAAATTTTTCATTATGGGTTTTAATTGCTGTCATTAATTATTCGTAATTAAGTCACAATTGTTGATGTTAAACTTTGTCAGTGGGGATTGAACTTTTCTTCTTTTTTAAGGTTCTTTACTCGCTTTGAACGGACCCGATGAATGGTAAACCTCTAGAAGATGAACACATAGGACGAGTAACAGGACCACAGGTACTCAATTACGAAAGGGAAAGGTCCCTTTTAGATTGATTCCTCCCCCAAGCCTAAGGCAAGTAAGTCTCTGTCTCTCTTACTTTTATAGTCAACTCCGCGTCGTGTTTAAAGTATAAACAATAATTTAGGCTTTTTCATCATCTTTTCTATGTTTTTTCGAAGTCTTTTAAGATATTTAAGTTTTAGTTTGACAAATTTATAAATAATTTATAAAAGAATTATAAAAAAAAAACACTAACAAGTCTAGCTAAATATATGATCAATATTGAGTAATAGTTATAAATTTATAATTGAAATCAATAGTTCACTTTAATTGAATTTATAAACTTGTCAAGCGGAAGCTAATTTAGCCATTAATCCAAAACGTTTTTTTTCTATATACTTATTTTCAATTGCACATTTACAAAATAAAATATTTTATATATAAACTCAAAACTTTTTTCTACTTAATAATCACATTTTTCAAAAATTCGCTATTTAAAAATATTATTTTTCTCAACTAATGACTATCAAACATGGACTTGGTCAAGTCTTTTTTTTCTCTCTAATTTATTGAGACATGAAGTTATAGGTAACTACTTAGCCCTCTTTAACCCCATTTTTTAGGAAAATGTGTTTTGAAATAGTGTTTTTTTTAAAAAAATGTTATTAAAAAATAAGGAAAATTTTTAAGTTTATATATAATATTATTTTATGGAAGAATATGTAATTGAAAACAAGTTATTGGTCATGGAAGTTGCACAAGGTTTTCATAGAATACTGAACTTCAAAAATTTGCTCATTAATCACTAAACTTTTGCAAAATATAATCATATACATCACTCTAAACGAATGGTTAAAAAATTGGCAGATTTGCGGACGTGACTCACGAAATTGCTTCCATGGCAATCTATTTTCCACTTGGCGTCAACGTTAGAAATTTAAAAACTGAGTGATGGATGGAATAATGAATTACAAAGTTTAGTGATCCATTAGAAACTTTATGCAAAGTTTAGTGATGATTCGGGTAATTTACCCCCCATTTTTATTGATCTTTATTTTTTCTAGTTTTTTTTTTTTTGTACTCCTACCTATGATTTTATTTTCTCTAATATCGCCAAAGTGCATTGATCACTTAATAGTATTCAACTTTGAAATTTATATACATTTTCCGCTAATAGATTTCCAATTTTTATTCGAGTGTGTCATGATTGAAAGACGATCGAAGCTAAAGCAACCCATGAAATTCTCACACACCACTGCAAAGTTCACAAAAAAAGAAATAAAGCTTCAATCTTTGCTTTGACTTGGTAACTAAATTTGGTTTCAAGTCTAACAAATTGCTATAATGAAATGCATTATTTTTATATGTCCTTGTACACTGCAAAGTTTAATGATTTCCTTTAATCATGAATAAGAAAAACATAAGTAAGCAAAATGTTAAGGTTAAAATTGGATAACAATACAAAGCTCTCAAATTTCACCAAGAAACTAGAAGCGGCTTGTATGGTGTAGTGGAGTCTGAAAAGATGACCAAAAATCTTGCCCTTATCATGGATCCAAGTGTGACCATTTCATCTTTTTTAGTCTATGGCCCTAAAATCGTCCTACTTTTTCCTTAACAAATGAAAGAAAGTATTTCATTCTGCTCATCATCATGCACTCTTCTAGAGAGACTTCATCAATGCTGTGGCAGATGAATTTAAAGCAAAACGTTTTTGCTAAACAATAACATACGTGAATATTTATATCGCGTTTGACAATTTTATGTAACTCGTAAAAATGAGGGTTAATTACTTGAGTCATCATTGAACTTTGCATAAAATTTTCATCGTATCGCTAAACTTTTAAAATTACCCCATTAGTCATTGAATTTTATAATTTGTTATCTCATCCATCACTCAATTTTTAAATTGCTAATGACGTAGACATCTAGATTTTTGTGAAAAAATAAAATTTTGAATAATAATTTTTACAAGAATGCTAGATTAAAAAGTAGGCTAAAATTTTGAACTTACGTACAAAATATTTTATTGCATGAATGTATAGTTGAAAAAAAATTTTGAAAATATAATAATTCGATTTAGTCCCACAAGAATTATAACACTAATCTATGTGACGTTAATATAATATTAAATAATAAGTACAATAAAATAAATCATTCAATTTCACATTTCATTAAGCCCGCCACCTAACACTACATGCACTGTAATTATAACTCCAACGAAGTTAAATAACATTATTCTTGAAAATAATAATTGTCAAACAGTAGCTTAATCATTGTTCATTATATGCATAAGGTGGTTGGTGACAAAAAACAAAATTGGGTAAATTTTACTTCGGTCCCCAACCTTTTCGTTTTGTAGCAATTTCATCCCCCATTGAATTTTCATAATAATAATTAGTAAAAAATCTTCTTCTTCCCTCACATCACGTCACACCCCCATCCAAACCCACCTACCTCAGCCCCAGTACAATTGTTGACCCTACCCCCAGGATGGACGGGCTTTGGTGCTGAAATTGAGTCATACTACGACATTGTATGCAGTGAATATATGCTTTATGCTTTGGGGCAGGACCTTCGATGGAAGTATGGGAATCTACTCCAAGAAGGAAGATGATTATTCAATCTCCTTGTCCTCGAAAATTGATAGAAGCCCGACAAATTTACCCGTCTGATCTCTATTCATCCCAGTGGTACTTGGCTTTCTCATAAGGG